TTAGTGTTGAGGGGGAGGCCCGGGCTCGTGATTTCGTCTCGGGGAATTGAAAAATTGATTTCATTTCAATGTGTAGGGGCCCGATTTGGCCAAATTTTGCCGGGCAGCCTCCGGGCAAAATTTGGCCAAATCGAGCCGCGCATTTCTCATGGCATGCGAAGGGCAGCCCGATTTGGCCAAATTTTGCCCGGAGGCTGCCCGGCAAAATTTGGCCAAATCGAGCCGCGATAGTTTAAAATAATCTCGGGCCTTCAGAAAGGCGCGGCTCGATTTGGCCAAATTTTGACCGGAGGCTGCCCGGCAAAATTTGGCCAAATCGGGCCCCTGGACATTGACATGAAATCAATCTTTCAATTCCCCGATACTAAATCGGGGGGGGGCCAGGCCCGACCAGGCCCCCCCCCGGAATTAAATAATTTAAATAATTTCAATCCGAAAGGGGTGTTCAGGATTTAAATTATTTAAATTATTTAATTCTGGGAGAGGGAGGGGGCCCGGTGGGCCGGGCCCGATTTAAATAATTTGAATATGAAGCTCCCGAATCAAATATTCATACTTAAATCGTGGCCTTCATATTTAAATTATTTAAATCGGGCCCGGGAATTGAATAGTTTAAATAATTTAAATAATTTAAATCCTGGAGGGGGGGGGGCGGGCCTCCTCCCCCAGGAGGAATTAAATAATTTAAATATGAAGGCCTCGATTTAAATATGAATATTTAATTCGGGGCCTTCATATTTAAATTATTTAATTCCTCCTGCAAAAGGAGGCCCGGCCCCCCCCCCCCTCCCGGATTTAAATTATTTAAATTATTTAAATTATTTAAATTATTTAATTCCCGGGCCCATTTAAATTATTTAAATTATTAAATTAGTTAATTCCCGGGCCCGATTTAAATAATTTAAATATGAAGGCCACGATTTAAATATGAATATTTAATTCGGGAGCTTCATATTTAAATTATTTAAATCGGGCCCGGGAATTAAATAATTTAAATAAATTAAATAATTTAAATAATTTAAATAATTTAAATCCTGGAGGGGGGGGGGCCGGGCCTCCTCCCGCAGGAGGAATTAAATAATTTAAATATGAAGGCCCCGAATTAAATATTAATATTTAATTCGGGGCCTTCATATCTAAATTATTTAATTCCTCCTGCGGGAGGAGGCCCGGCCCCCCCCCCTCCAGGATTTAAAATATTTAAATTATTTAAATTATTTAATTCCCGGGCCCGATTTAAACAATTTAAATATGAAGGCCACGATTTAAATATGAATATTTAATTCGGGAGCTTCATATTTAAATTATTTAAATCGGGCCCGGGAATTAAATAATTTAAATAATTTAAATAATTTCAATAATTTAAAAAATTTAAATATTTTAAATCCTGGAGGGGGGGGGGCCGGGCCTCCTCCCGCAGGAGGAATTAAATAATTTAAATATGAAGGCCCCGAATTAAATATTAATATTTAATTCGGGGCCTTCATATTTAAATTATTTAATTCTTCCTGCGGGAGGAGGCCCGCCCCCCCCCCCCTCCAGGATTTAAATTATTTAAATTATTTAATTCCCGGGCCCGAATTAAATAATTTAAATATGAAGCTCCCGAATTAAATATTCATATTTAAATCGTGGCCTTCATATTTAAATTATTTAAATCGGGCCCGGGAATTAAATAATTTAAATAATTTAAATAATTTAAATAATTTAAATATTTTAAATCCTGGAGGGGGGGGGCGGGCCTCCTCCCGCAGGAAGAATTAAATAATTTAAATATGAAGGCTCCGAATTAGATATTAATATTTAATTCGGGGCCTTCATATTTAAATTATTTAATTCCTCCTGCGGGAGGAGGCCCGGCCCCCCCCCCCTCCAGGATTTAAATTATTTAAATTATTTAAATTATTTAAATTATTTAATTCCCGGGCCCGAATTAAATAATTTAAATATGAAGCTCCAGAATTAAATATTCATATTTAAATCGGGGCCTTCATATTTAATTCAGGCCTGGAACCCCCCCTAGGACCTAAAATAGGGTCTATTTGGAAGTTGGCTCTTGTAAATAAGTATACGTTTTGGGGCCTTTTTTCCTCTTGTGAACACGAGTGCCAGCTTCCAAATAAACCCTATTTAAGCTGCACACGGCCCCCCCCCAAATAATCTTAATTGGGCTTAACTATCCCTAAGTAGTCTTAATTCTGGGCGGAACCTTAGGGGGGGTAGTATAGATGGGGGTAGTATAGCGGGGGGTAGTACGGGAACCCATGAACTAAGGGTTTTTACGTGCTTCAAGGGCTTTAAGGTTCCTTCAATTTTTAGTTTACCACGAAGTAGCCTGGGCAGGCAAAGGAGTTTACCGCCTTTGATCCCTTCCCACGCCGGGGCGCCCAGAGCACTTAGTGACTCAGGGCTGAAGGTTGTTCTCGATTTTGGGCCCCGATCACCCTAAAACCCCAAGCCCTAACAGCCCTAAAACCCTAAAACCCTAAAACCCTAAAACCCTAAAACCCTAAAACCCTAAAACCCTAAAACCCTAAAACCCTAAGACCCTAAAACCCTAAAACCCTAAAACCCTAAAACCCTAAACCCTGAACTATCTTTTGGGCTTCCCCAAATAAGGCCTTCAGCTCGAATGGTTCCTTATGAAGTGGGGTTGTTTTGAGTTACAAGCCTTGGAGTTTAGGGTTCAGGGGCGCAAGACCATGTGGATGCCCCTCAGGGTTTAGGGTTTAGGGTTTCGGGATTAGGGGTGTAGGGGTGTAGGGGTTTAGGGTTTAGAGTTTTTTGGTTCGGGGCGTTTCATCATGTAGAGACCTGATATGGGCCCCTTACACCCTCCCTTACACCACCACTGCTTCCTTGTGATCACTCGGAAACAGGAGGAGACAAGAGAGTCAGCGTGGATCTCGCCGCCCCTAAAAGCAGTCGTCAACTGAGCTCTGGCGTTTCGGGTTGAGGGTTTAGGCTTTAGGGTGTAGGGTTTAGGGTTATGGGTTAGGGTTTAGGGTTTAGGGTTTTGGGGTTTAGGGTTTGGGGTTTAGGGTTGAGGGTTTTGGGGTTAGGGTTTTGGGCCATGAGCATTCGCAAAGGTTCGAACGGGCCGCTGCGGTGAAGCCACGTGTGGAGGTAGAGTGACCCTGGCTGATCACTGGATGTATGCGTGGGCTTGTTCTCACTTCGGTCCCTTTACGTGTATCTAAACCGTCTACACCCTAAACCCGAAACCCTAAACGCCCGAAGGGATTGAGATAGTGTTTACGATGATCTTTATTGGTGGGTGTATATATAGGGTTCCTTATGAATATCCGTGAGTGCATGCATGTAAATGTGACATGTGCGTGTTTGCGCATGTGTTTGTTATGTTTCTGTATGTGTATTCTATGTTAGCGATCCGGGATACCAGCAATAAAAACCCTAGTTCACATGAGGTAGGCCTGGCACCTTCAGACGCATCAGAGGGAAGGGCGGTACATCGAACTCACACAGCGTCGGAAGGTGCTAGACTTGCAGTGTTAATGAACTTGTTGTTTCACGCGTGCCAAAGTGTGCTAAGACCTGTTACGTGGCCGGGCACCAAAGTGGGCCTGCCATGTTTCACGCAATGTGACCCGGGTCTGTGGTGAAAAGACCGTATTGCGGGGTTCATCACGGGTGGTCCTGATTTTCGAATCTACTTATTGCTGACCAGCTTTCTCTTCAGCGGCGTTTTACTGCAGATGTAAGAGAATACTCATACTCATTGGAAGATCGCTGAAGGAGTGCGCAGTGGAACAGAAGGAGTACACCTCGCACCAAGCGCAGTGAACAATGAATGTACGCCCATCATCGCATCGCCATTCTCGCAAGGGAAACATCTTCTCATGAGCACGGCCTTCTCATCAACCGACCAGCCGAAGGCAACTACGACGCAATAGTTACAGTCACAGTCCTCTTAGGGTAGTTACATGGCCCCTCAGTATGGGCCCTTTAAAGGGGACCCCTTATATACGCCGTATATACCGTATACAAACCATATAAAGGGCCCATGAAACTACCCTCAGAAGTCCAGAGTAGTGAGCGAGGTCCGAAGAAGGCACAACAGCCCAACGGCTCCGCCTGCGCGGCTATGCGTTCTACACGATGGGTTGGCGAACTGTGCGAGGAAATGTCTGTTGTTGGATCCGGTGTGCTGTGCACTAAGCAGTCGCTAGAAGCCCAAGGCCAGAAAAGTGCTGCTTGGCTGGGCACGTTGAGTTTGCCACGGCAGCTCAGCTAAAACTTGTGTGGAGCTGAGAGGCCAAGTTACAGGAAAGTTTGTCGGTGCTGCCTGCTTTTGGACCTCAAGTCCAAGCCCCTTCAACGCGACTTGATTTGGACCCTTTTTTCTCCTCACCCTACAGTCATTGCAGGTGGGAAGATTTCGACAGACACGCCAAGATCACTCTATGAGCACTGCAAGAGGAGGCACTCCAAGACCACAACAAAAGCATTCCAAGAGCACGCACAGAGCATCCAAGACCCGGAGCACTCCAAGAACACCCCAAGAGGATTCCAAAAACTTTGCAGGGCACGTTGCTCGGGGAAGAACATGCAGCCAAGACCCTTCCAGTTGCAGTAGCGTTTTATGGTGCACTGTGGAAATTGTGACCCAGATGTTTTTGTTTGCAGTAGGACCCATCTGGCTGTAGTGTAGCGGTTGTGGTTGTAGTAGGGATTGTTTGTGGGGCTTGGGGAGGGGTGGGCGGTGGAGGGTTTCCCCGGCTTCCCCGAACCCGTGGTTCCTGAATCCGCTGGTTCGAGGTTCCCGAATCCGTGTTTTCCAATCTTGAGAGTCCGCAGTTGCGGTTTCTGAATCCGTGTTTTCCCGTTGCCAATCTGCGTGCTAGTTTCTTTTCCCGACCTTGCGCGGGCCAGTTCGGAATCCATCCGTTGTTCGTGTTCCTACCCGCGGCTGACCATGATGAAGGTGCTTCCCGGACAGCATTTTTGTTGTAGAAGCTGTGCTGTTACGTGATCTCGCCATGGCTTCCGCACCGTGGAAGCTCTTCTCGGCACTTGCCTTTGCTGGAGCATACGGCCTGTGGTCTAACTCATCGTCTACATGTGACAGTGAGCCCAACGCCCTGCTCCAACATCACCGGACTGCCGTGGAGAAGGCGGACGTGTTCACGTTTAAGGTTTCCCCTAAGGATCCATGCCATGTACCTATATGGTATCTACTTGGGCCCTAAAAGGTTCCTATATAGTAGCTTTAGGGTACATGGATCCTTAGGGTTCGGGATGCTTCAGGCCGGCTTAGTCTCGCTAGGCGGACCGTAGCTCTTCTAAGCTAAAGGGAGCTGCAAAAAATGCAGGTCAGTGCCCTGACAGCGCCTGACTCTGATTCGGCCAACAGCATCGAGGCAGACTGCGGATGAGGGAGGGAGAGAGACATGTAGGCACCAGTAGGCGTGGGCGTTTCTTCCTACCAACATTGCAAGGTCTTTGAGATTTCAAGGCCATAAGTATATGATGCCAGCTCGCTGTGGATCTTTGCGTTGTCCTAGTTGGGTTGGTACGTGTTGGTACATGTTGGTACCATTGTCCTCAAATACTGGATTTTCCCGGGCATGCACGATGACTCTTGCCGTGGAGGTCACTGATGCGACCGCTGATCCAACGAAGTTGTCGCTCGTGCAAGAAGCCTCGGGAGAGGCCCTCCGTGTTTGTGCCGTTAGTTGGAGTAGCTGTGTTTCTGTAATACGGTGCAGCACCAGGCATCCAACATGAAAGGGTTCGGGAGCAAAGTCCGCCGCGTCCCGAAGAGAGTTGAGAGCTTAGAAATGCATGCGTTGGCGGAGTCGTCGGCCAGCAGCACCCTGTTTGAAGAAGATGCTAGCCAGGTGGCCCAAAGCAAGGCTCAAAAGAGCAACAACCGACTCGCCCCTAAGAAAGCTGCGGTCTCAGTTTGGCCCTGTTGATGGTGTTCCGGCGGCGGTGCCTGTCTTTCTCTAAGACCGGCTCGTTGTGGTGTGGTTGGTAGTTTTTGCATTGGTACCAGGGTCTTCAGATACTGGATTTTCCCGGGCATGCATAGTGACTCTTGCTGTGGAGGTCACGGATGCGACCGCTGATCCAACGAAGTTGTCGCTCGTGCAAGAAGCCTCGGGAGAGGCCCTCCGTGTTTGTGCCGTTAGTTGGAGTAGCTGTGTTTCTGTAATGCGGTGCAGCACCAGGCATCCAACATGAAAGGGTTCGGGAGCAAAGTCCGCCGCGTCCCGAAGAGAGTTGAGAGCTTAGAAATGCATGCGTTGGCGGAGTCGTCGGCCAGCAGCACCCTGTTTGAAGCAGATGCTAGCCAGGTGGCCCAAAGCAAGGCTCAAAAGAGCAACAACCGACTCGCCCCTAAGAAAGCTGCGGTCTCAGTTTGGCCCTGTTGATGGTGTTCCGGCGGCGGTGCCTGTCTTTCTCTAAGACCGGCTCGTTGTGGTGTGGCTGGTAGCAACGCAAATAGGGTCTTCAGATACTGGATTTTCCCGGCGTGCATGGTGACTCTTGCTGTGGAGGTCACTGATGCGACCGCTGATCCAACGAAGTTGTCGCTCGTGCAAGAAGCCTCGGGAGAGGCCCCCCTTTTTTTTGGCGTTGGTTCCTCCATTTTTTGGCATTGGTTGGAGTAGCTGCGTTTCTGATGCGGCACAGTGGAGGTTTCCCTCAAACATCATGTCAAACCCAACGCTTCCTTCGCAGAAGAAGGCTTCAACACATACAGAGAAACTGGCGTGCCAGCCCCCCCGACAAAAGTTATTCTAGACCCCAAGAGTAAAATACAGTAAAAGGGGGCTTCACGGGCATTGCGACAAGCATTCAGAAGAAAACCGCAAATCCTGTCTTACTGGACCCACGAAAAGCGAACCCGTCCAAGAGTCCGAAAGGCCGGACAGCAGGCCCCTAGGGTTTAAGGTTTAGGGTTTAGGGTTTAGGGTTTAGGGTTTAAGGTTTAGGGTTTAGGGTGTAGGGTTCGGCCCTACATGGTGAGAACGCGTTGGACGATGCCAGTTGTCGGCTTATTCAATTATTCCATGACTCGAATCACCGCCAACCCGTGTTCACGCCCGCGAGTCGCCTGCGCCTCGATGGGAGCGAGATAAGCGAGCGCCACGCCTATGCGGGAGCGGTGGAATTGAACCTTCCGCTCGCGCCACACGTGGCCAGCGGCCTAATCATCTGACTGAATGTTGGCACTTCATAGTGCTGACACTAGTTTATTTGGATAAAAGTGCCCAAAATGTAAAAGCAGCACAACAGAAACAAGCGACATGTGCTGAGATACAGGGCAGTTACAGAGCACACGTTGTTCTTCAACAAGGAAAGAACGCAAAGCTCGCCACCAAGAGTGGTGCCCCGAGACCCAGCCATTTCCCACAGCTACAGCTAGAGCCCCCCTCCCGCCACACGTGCAAACCTCCAGCATGAAAAGGAACACCAGAGGGTGAAAGAAGGGAGGGAGGGGAAGGAAATGTGTTTTTGTTTGTGGGGGTGGGGGTCGGTTCCCTTGCATGTTCATAGGTTGCATGTTGCGTTTCAATAGGAAGATCTGTTTTTCTAAGTAGAACGACCAGATATGTCTTGATGGGAGCAGTTTACTTATTTCCGTCAAGCCCATGTTGCGGTCCTTGTGTATTTCACGAGCATGCTACGGCTGCTACGGCGTTACGACGCGTGGCAGAAGTTGCAGGCTTCCGCATCAGGCTGGCCCGCGAAGGCGTGGAAGGTGGGCTGTCGACACCACCCACGCGGAGCAGATGCTTTGCTTTTAGAGCATTTCCGCGTTGATGAGAGGATGCAATGGTGAAGACTCACCCGCCGCCCTCCCCCAAATCTGAGATCCTACCCTGTCGCAGGGCCAGCGCAGATACCATTCAGCGCAGGGCTCAGCTGGCTCGGAGGCCGGCAGCCTGGGTCTCCTTGCGATTCCTTCCCTGCACGCGAGGAGAGGATCCCGGAAGGCAGCGGCCTTGCAGTGGGGACCCCGGGCAGAAGGGTCTTGACTTCTGCGCGGGTTTCCGAAATTAGGGGTGCCTTATTGGGGTCCTTATTGAAAGGGAAACCTACGATTTGGGGACTATGCTATGGGTGCCTTATCTTCGTAAACTCCCATGTCGCGCATGGGAGAGTTGGGATCCGAGGCAAGGCTCGGAGCCTTGTTGGCGAACCTGTCCATGGTGGCTGCCGAGATCTCGGGCAGCTCCGAGGCTGGCGTCCTCGAAACCACACATGGCCGCCCTCATCCCTTTGTGGATGTCGTGGAGTTGGGTTTAGTGCGTGTTTAAGCCTTAGGGTTTATAATTTGTCCGCACCCGCCCGCACACGCACGCAAGCGCAAGCGCAAGCGCACGCGCACGCACGCGCACGCGCACGCACGCACACGCGCACGCACGCGCACGCACGCATGCACGCACTCACACACACACATGCGCAGACACATACACATACACATATACACATATACACACATACACATATACACACATACACATCATTCACACATACACACATACACACAGACGCACAGACGCACAGACGCACAGACGCACATACACACAGACACACGCCACACACACACACAGACACACACAGACACACACAGACACACACAGACACACACACACACACACACACACAAACACACACACACACACACAGACACACACAGACACACACACACACAC